ATCGTTATGTATTACGAAGTAGTCATGACCCCAGTATCAGGTATTAGAATGTGGGTAGAAAACAGATAAATTAGAAGCTGAAGACAAGAAAGAACGTTAGGATAATTTTTATTACATATCTACTTGAAAATATACCAAATAATCTAGGCAAGTATAATTATAGAAGAAACCCATCGCTTTGGTCTTCATTGTATATCGTTATTACACAAATATATATCGTTGTTTGGAACCTTGTAAGCCATATCAAAGTGGTTCTATTCAATTGAAGATTTATAAATTCTTTTTTGTTTATTAACATAATTTAGGAATAATATAAGGTAAAAATATAATCGTAAGGAGAATGAAATTTATATAATTGATAATCGTATAAATAATAAATTTGATTATTTGCTAAAAATGATAACAGTTTTATGTATTTTGTGGATGAAGTGCCTATTAACTTTCTATTAAAGTATTAGTTGAATTACAAACTCTTTGTTCACTTCAATTTGATATAATATGCAAGTAATATGCAAAATTTTCATAAATTAATTTTGAAATTTAAGCATGGAAGGTTTATTTTGTATAAGTACAATAATCAGATAAAGAATTTTAATAGTTACTTCGTTAGAACAATTACGTAAATATTTTAAGCATATTATTATAAAATGTTTGAAAAATTAACAATAACAAAAAGTTACATGGAAGAATCTAATTTTTGAAAAAATTAAACGAATGTATTTGAAATAAAATATTTCACTTCTTTGAGTTGCTGTAACATTTGCTATCGACAAAAAGTATCGAATGTTATGTTAATTACGCTAAAGTAATTATGTTATTTAGTAAATTTCAAAATAACATATAAGTAAACTACGGCTACTCATTAAAAATCTTATCTATCTATAAACGTTGACAGGTAGATCTGATCTATTTGTCAACGTTTACAGGTCGCCTTCCATTCCTTTCATCTAGCATAAATTTTTCCTGTTCAGGCTGATCAATGGTCAAAAGAGTAGACATAATCAGTTGTTTTGTAATTCATAGATTATATATATTTTTGAAACAAAATATTTCTTTCTTTTATCGATTTTCCATGGTCATTCTTATATCGAATCTAAGAAGAAGGATGACTTTATCTGATTCGATAATCTTATGGTACAGAGAGGTCACTCGAAAATCTCAAATAAATTTGGCTAAACTGTCTTCATCTTCACCATGGCGAATGTTCGACCTGAAGAAAGGCGAATTCATAACACACCTTATGTTGCCGAGATAATTCCCATAGGCCATCCTCAGGTTAAACCAGAGAATCGGAACATCGGAGTTTCAAAACNCATGGTCATTCTTATATCGAATCTAAGAAGAAGGATGACTTTATCTGATTCGATAATCTTATGGTACAGAGAGGTCACTCGAAAATCTCAAATAAATTTGGCTAAACTGTCTTCATCTTCACCATGGCGAATGTTCGACCTGAAGAAAGGCGAATTCATAACACACCTTATGTTGCCGAGATAATTCCCATAGGCCATCCTCAGGTTAAACCAGAGAATCGGAACATCGGAGTTTCAAAACGTAGAATAAGTATATCTACGTTCATCGAATTAATAACGAAAAATAAGAAAATGACAGAAAAATAATATATATAAATGTAAATATAAAAGAAAAACAAAATCATATATAATAATAATAATAATAATTCGCTAATAATATCTTGAACAAACATATAGGAAGGAATAGACAACAATGAAATCGGAGAATGTGGTAATATTATTTTTCCAAAACATTTAATTATTATACGAATCTAATTATTTTTTAATTAGAAATTTTATTCGACTTATGTCGGACAAATCTTCAGGTAGAAAATTTGGCAAAATGGTCTAAATNATGATATTAACCTGGTGTTGTCTTGTAGTTTTTCTCTTCAGTCTAATTGTCACGCGTTATATTGTTGTATAATTTGTCTTTTGTATTGTTATTTATTACAGTTTGTGATTTCAGTTATAAGAGCCCGTACATACAGGGCTTTCCCTTGTACTAAATAAATAATAAATAATAATAATACTAATAAAATAAAAATATTTAAAAACCAGTACTTTAATAAGTCTTAATGAAAAATCTAAAAATCAACTTATATTTGTCAGAAACCATTTAATTCTCATGACTTAACATGAAGAATCATCTATTTTTTCTGAACAGTCAAGAAACACAAAATTACTGTTAAAAATCGTTTGTTTCTAATAATGAATTACTTTTCACATTATAAGGCCAATATAAATGCGAAATTGAACAATTTTCTAATTAAACTTTTAACCATTTGATCTAATTACTTCAGAATATTATATGTGTATTCGTTGGTCTTAAAGGAAAAAACAACTTAAAATATTCTAATGGTAGGTGCTGAAAAGACATTGTAAAATACGAAAAATTCATACATTGGAAGAAGTGTTGTTTCTTTCGACGTCTTCCACCCAGAAAAAGTGAAAGACCCAAAAAAACACTAAGAAACACTATTCTCATTTTGATTCATAATAAATTCATCCAGAGCATTAGCGTTAATAGTCGCATGATAATAGCAGAGATCAGCTAATATCTCTACGATAGAGTATCGATAATTATTGTCTTAACCCTGGATGTGAACTCGAGTTGCTTGGATCACAAGCTGACATTATTTCATCTTGTTAACAAAATTGGTTAAAAAAATTGCTATAGATTGAACTGGAAAATGCGTAATTTTACAAAACTATACAACTCGCAGAAATATATATATTAAATTGATAAGTATTTTATGCGAAACCATCTCACATTATACTAAAAGAAGAGTCCTCTCAACTGGGGTCACATGGACCCTATGGGTTCATGTAACATTACTGTGGATCCACAGAAAAGAAAATTAAATTGTGGTTTACAGTGATATTTTAGTGGTCTATCAGGTAATTCTACTTCAGAACAATTGTTTTACTAAGAATTAAATTTCTATAGTATATATATTGTGAACTTCTTTACTTCTCATTTTTTTGCATAAGGGTTATAATATAAATCGTTTAAAGTATTGAATACTTATACAACATATATAATTCATTGGAAAAGGTCAAAGAGAGATTATAAAGCTGGGGGTTTGCTTAGCATGCCCCACATGCCTAAGAGAAAGTTTGGATTGTCAATATATTTTTTTATGTGAGAAGAAATATGCCAATAATAATTTATTCTAACGTGTAAACTCTTTAATCATTTGCGTTTGCTTTTACATTGAGAGCTAGTGACTAGCCGTTTTAAGTTGGTGAGATGCTTGTGGGAACTCGATCACTTGCTCCTGTTGAGGTTTTCCACAGCAAACAAGTGCAAATGCATCACGTCATTCGAAGCATTTAACACGGCCAGATTGTATCGAAAGCTTGCAGTACTCAGTTAGCACACACTTATTGTGTGCGGGGGTGGATCTGCATTAGGGACTAAGAGGGTTAAAGCCCCGGGCCCGCAGGGTTAATGGCCCACAAAAATTGAATTATTATCATAAATTTTTAATACTTTTTTATTATAATATATTTCATATATTTCATGTGTAGATATAATGGGCTTTATAATAGTCCATATAATTTTATTCATATTAAATGACGTTTCTGCTTATTGCTTAGTGCTAGAGATAAGCCTATTATTCTTATTACAACTTTCAGCATGACCAAAAATTTTGATCAAGATTTGCCCCTGTAAACCATTAGCATTATGTCACTTAACAGTGACTTTTCTGTTTTTATTAGTGAAAAATATAAGGTTACTTTTCTGTGCAATGTCTATGGTGATCCAGAAAAAAATTAACAGGAAAAAATAAGTCCAACAGTAAAAAAATTATTGAAAACCACTGTTCTGAACAAAAAGTTTAATAAAAATAAACGTAAAAAGCAAATTTTTGAAAACTTAAAAAAAAACATCATTTTTAAATTTTAAATGAATTTTTATTTTTTCGTTCAAGTATAACTCATATTATACGTTATTACAGAAGATTTTCATAAACATATATCGTTTTTAACAAGATTTTTTGTTTAATTTATCATGGAAAATTTAAAGGATAGACACATAATAATTGTAATTTAAAACATGAAATGAAAAATTGATTCCTATTACATTACATAATTTTACAAATCATGGTTTCCATTTTTGTTTTATAAAAAATATACCTTCTAAACGATTTTTAAAAGATCTGATTATTTCTGTAAATTCAGAAAATTTACATTTACTTTAGATTATTTTGAATTTGATGACAGTTATCNTTTAAAAACCAGTACTTTAATAAGTCTTAATGAAAAATCTAAAAATCAACTTATATTTGTCAGAAACCATTTAATTCTCATGACTTAACATGAAGAATCATCTATTTTTTCTGAACAGTCAAGAAACACAAAATTACTGTTAAAAATCGTTTGTTTCTAATAATGAATTACTTTTCACATTATAAGGCCAATATAAATGCGAAATTGAACAATTTTCTAATTAAACTTTTAACCATTTGATCTAATTACTTCAGAATATTATATGTGTATTCGTTGGTCTTAAAGGAAAAAACAACTTAAAATATTCTAATGGTAGGTGCTGAAAAGACATTGTAAAATACGAAAAATTCATACATTGGAAGAAGTGTTGTTTCTTTCGACGTCTTCCACCCAGAAAAAGTGAAAGACCCAAAAAAACACTAAGAAACACTATTCTCATTTTGATTCATAATAAATTCATCCAGAGCATTAGCGTTAATAGTCGCATGATAATAGCAGAGATCAGCTAATATCTCTACGATAGAGTATCGATAATTATTGTCTTAACCCTGGATGTGAACTCGAGTTGCTTGGATCACAAGCTGACATTATTTCATCTTGTTAACAAAATTGGTTAAAAAAATTGCTATAGATTGAACTGGAAAATGCGTAATTTTACAAAACTATACAACTCGCAGAAATATATATATTAAATTGATAAGTATTTTATGCGAAACCATCTCACATTATACTAAAAGAAGAGTCCATCATTTATATTTTATTGTTACATATTTTATCATGAATTACAATTTATGAATGATTATTTATAATAAGTACAACGACTTTGATACAGTTGTCCAGATACCAATCATTATATAACATATTTTACTTGTCTAATAGACGTAAACAGCACATTTTAATGTAGTTTACAAACTTACTAGTCTAGATTATAAGCAATCTTTATGTAAACTTGTAATAAACATTTCTTCAGAAAGGACAATATAAGAGTAGTTTACCTTTTTTCTACCCGCATTCTTATTCCCGATATCGGGCGAAAAATGACTTCAGCAGAAGTAACGATTTTGTCTTGAGGATCCAAAGAGTAAACTTTAAAATTCCGAAGAACATTAGCTAATATGGTTTTCATTTCAACCATCGCAAGCTTACCTCCTGTAAATAAATCATTTCAGTAAAATAACTCTGTGTTTAATTTATTACAATTCACTCACCGAGACAATTTCGTGGACCAGCGGAAAATGGCAGAAAACCATAAGGATGAAGTTTTTTAAAGTTTTCGGGCAGGAAACGATCTGGATCGAACAATTCTGGATTTTCATAAACAGAATGATTGTGGTGAATGGCATGGATACAAATTGAGATAAAAGATTTTGGTGGTAAAATATAATCATCTATTTTATTAAAATAACGAAAAAGCAATGATTATGGAGATATTAATAGAAGCAAAAGTCTAGATTGATACAACTAACCTATTTTTATTTCATACGGATTTTTTCTTGCAATGACAGGAACAGGAGGACAGATTCTCATCGACTCCTGAAAAGTTTTGTGTAGAAGTGTATCAAATTAATTTTCGTATGTTAAAAAATTGTAAAGTTACCTTTATAACGCATTCTAAATAAGTCATTTTTAGCAAATCATCAACTGTAATATTTCTATTCATGTCATTTTCGAAAATGCTCTGTAATTCCAGATACACTTTGTCCTGTATTTCGTGGAATCTTCCCAGGAAATAAAGACTCCATGACATAACATGGGCGGTTGTATCGAAAGCCTGATATTAAAATAAGTTGAAGTGAAAAGTTAAATTTCTTTCTAAATAGAACATTGAATATGAATTAATAATAATTTGTCATGAAATATTTCTTCATTAGACGGCAGAGGAAGTTAAGACGTAACCCTATCACCCTGGGAAACTCGGGATCAAATCCAAAAGAAGAATTATTTAGGTGTTGTTTTTAGACAGATTCCATCTCTTATCATAGTGCTGCTTCGAGTATGAATAAGACGAAACAACGATGTGTATGAATGAAAAGCACACTTTCGATATCCAGAAGGAATAGAGAATGATAGACAAAAACAACAGTTTAATGTTAAAATCAGAATCATTCGAATATATTTCATGAAGTTATATTTAAGGATGCCAATTTTATGAAGAAAATTTTGTTCAGAAGAATTTTAGACATTGGTTAGAAAACCGAAAACAATTAAAAGTTAAATTAGTATTTGAAAAACGTAAATTCGGTCAGCCTTAAAATGAGATTAAATGGTAAAAATCGTAATACAAGAGATTTCCCACTCAAGAAAATTTCGTAAGGTTGCTTCTTTGTACTTCGTTGCGTGTTGTATTATAATTGAGACAGATGACTTTACAGCGCCTACTATATTTCGATTGATTCACATAATATCTACTCTATCAATTTTGCCAAGAAAAACCCGCAGCCCCATATTACAAAAGACCCGAAAATTCAAGTTTTCAACACAGATAATTTATGATTTGAATTCCTGTAGATTCTTAATTTCGTAAATATTTTCTTAAATATACTCAAATAGAAAATGAATAATTTAAAAATTTCTTTCGAATGCAGGAATTTTTCCATTTATATTTCACATATTACTTAGTATTAATACATTGATTAATAAATTATACATCAAATATAATTTTAAATTAACTGAAAAAAGTTAATTGAAATTATTAATAAAATAAGTTTTACATACTAATTTAATTAATACTGCAATAATGTAAATGATGTAATTAAAATACGTGCAGAATTATGAAACTATTTTCGTTTACATTTTTAACGAATTATACGTACTGCAAACATAAAGAATACCATCTCTTTGATAATGTCTTTTTCCGATAATAAACCTTGATTGACATGAAGATCTAACAGTAAATCTATGAGCGGCTTCGGTTTTATGTTCGGCTCTTTTACACTATGTGCATTATCTTCCAAGTGTAGTAGCTGTCTTTTCACGTAATTTTCTTTTATTTTCTTGAACACCTGCGCATTAAATTAAAACATAATTCTGTTAAATCCAAACATAAGCCTTAATCTTTCATGTAAGTCGATTTACCTTTTCACCAAACTGATGAATTATTTCAATGTGTCTTTTGAAATTCCTTCCCGTTTTAGTCCTGGCGAAAATTGGAGGGAACCAATGCAATGGATTCAATAGCCATACAGGATAATATCGCATATATCTAGAATTTAATTTCAGTTATATTATACGAGAGTTTAACTTCAAGGATTTAAATACAAATATATTTTGTTTTCCGATTNTTTGTATAATTTTGATATAATTTTTTTAATGGAAACGTGGTGGGATGGCAGGTCTGCTATTCCCAATTTGCAAAATATGGATAAATTTTCTGTTTTTTCGGAGGCAGGTTATCGAGAGGCTGATAGAGGTTGCTGTATTGGTGGCTGGTTGTTGTTATTGTCTAACTCTTGAAAAGTAAATATCTTGGAAAAAGATAGGCATTGGATTGTTGTGAAATTATCTATAGGGCCAATAGTAATTTCTTTCTGTTTTATGTATATAAGACCTGTATTATGGAATTCTATTTGGACAGAGGTAGCTAGGTTGGTTAATTGTTATAAGATAGACTTTTTAATTGGTGATTTTAATGCTCGCATTGGAGTAGAACTGCAGGTATTGATTTATGAAAGTAATGAGAATTTTGATCAGGAATGGATGTTGAGATCATCAAAGGATACAGTATTAAATAATCGTGGAAAATTGGTGTTAGATTTTTGTGAAGAGGCTGGATATATTGTTTTAAATGGTAGAGGCTTATCTATATCTTAAGGTTATTATACATATGTGAGTGATATAGGCTCCTCTGTAATTGATTTGGCTTTGGTTAAGTTAAATAGATTATCTATTGTAACAAGTTTTTCTGTATTAGATAAAGTGTATAGTAATCATTTTCCGATAAGTGTAGTCTTAGATTGTAAATCTAAGAAGGAAATTCGAAAATCATTTAAAAAGTATAAGAGTAAGAGTGAGAGAATTTTTTGGAAAGAAGAAGGTAGTGAGAAGATAAATTATAAGTATAGGAAACTATTAGGCGCGATTCAGAGTCAGTCAGTATTAACGTTGGAAGGTTTAACTCATTTAATTAAATCTTCATTTTTAGATTGGTGTCAAAGGCCAATTGGATTTTCCAATTTTGTGTGGTTTGATATGGATTGTAAGTTGAGTATTGCAAGAAGAAATCAGGCTTTGACTAGGATGAGACGGTCAAAGTGTGGAAATAGTGTTGCAGTTAAGAATTTTGTTAAAGAAAGTAATGTGACTCGCAATTTATGTAGAGCTAAGAAAAAGCTTTTTTTTGCAGAAAATCAATAAGAATTTGGCGTCTGGTGATAGTAAGCAGTTCTGGCGATTTATTAATTTCGTTGTTAAGAGTAAATACAGAGAGCTTCCAGATCTTGATTGGGTAGCTTTTTTTTCAAAGAAATTTCATTCTAGTAAATATTTACCTGATATGTCTATATATAATTGGTGTATGAATTGGCAGGATGAGCTGTTGGATACGGAGATAACAGAACAGGAAGTCAAAAAGATTCTAGCTTCTATGAAAAATGGTACTGTTCCAGGTATTGATGGGATACCGGTGGAACTATATAAGAATTTCCCAGATCTGATTGGATATATGGTAGGTCTGTTTAACAATGTTTATCAATCAGGGATGATTCCTTTAGACTGGCGCATATGTAAGATTATTCCTATATTTAAAAAGAGTCTTAGAGATTTACCTGATAATTATAAAGCAATTTCGTTACTACCGACAATATCTAAAGTTTTCTGTAAAATTTTATGTATGCGTTTGATATCTTGGCTGAATAAGTTTGAGATATTTTCTGATTTCCAGGTTGGTTTCCGGGCTGGTTTTTCGACATTGGATAATATTTTTGTTTTACATGCTTCAATACAGAAGTCTTTAAGGAAGAAACGAGGTAAATTTTACGCTTTCTTCGTTGATTTGACGGCGGCATTTGATTCGTTGGATAGAGATCTTTTATGGAGTCAACTTCTGAAGATTGGGTTGAGCTATGAATTTGTAAACTTTTTGATTCAGTTGTATACTAATACAGAGGCGTGCGTGTCTACTAAGGAAGGTACGACTGATCTTTTTTTACGTTAAAAGGTGTGAAACAGGGTTGTGTATTGAGCCCAATATTGTTTAATTTATATTTGTATCCACTTGTAAGTAAACTGAATGACTCTAATTTGGTGGGCATTGACCTTTTAGGAACGGAGGTGAAAATTTTGACATATGCAGATGATTTAGTTGTTATGGCAGATTCGCCTATAGGTCTACAGAGAATGATTGACTTTTTAGGAAACACACTACAGGAGTTAAAACTGTCTGTTAACATTGACAAATCTAAAATAATGGTATTCCGAAATGGAGGAAAACATTCTAACAACGAGAATTGGTTTTTACAAAATCGCAAAATAGATGTAGTTGATGAGTACAAGTATCTGGGTGTAGTTTTTCAGTCTAATTGGCGTTTTTTAAAACATTTAATGTATATTTACAGTAAAGTGACCTTTGGAAATGATAAGATTATTAAAGCTTGTGTATCTGGTAGATTGGTACGTTGGAAAGATAAATTAAAATTATTTGAGTCATTTATTCAATCAGTAGTGTTATATGGATCCGAAATTTGGGGCTTTGATTGGAGAGATAAAGATGATAATATACAAATTAATTTTATTAAGCGTTTATATTCTCTAAAGATATGGATTCCATCGTATATTATATATCTGGAGTTTCAAAGAGTCCCCCTTTATTTTAATATAATAAAAAATAATTTAAAATGGTTATGTAAGCAGTATGCTAGTAAACTTACAGAGTCTGCTAAAATATTTTTAATTTCCCAAAGAGTATCGTGGGGAAATCGAATTGTGTCTTTATTGCAGAAATCTGTTTATCGAAATGATCCGATAATGTTAAATGAAAGTGAGACTTCAGATATTTTAATGAGTTTGGCGAATAATTATATAACTGAGTTTAAAAATAAGGCGATTAATTACAAATAAAATAAATGGTATATGAATGCTTTTAATGAATGGGGGTCGATGACCTATTTGAATTTAGAAAGACCTTTTTGTATTACACAAGCAGTATTATATGTGAGATGTAATATGATTAGAAGAATGTTAAGTCCATGTATGGACTACTGTGAATTTTGTAAAACTACTGTTAATTTTGACGCTTTTCATGTAATAACGGAATGTAAGGCGTTGACTGCACTCAGACAAAAGTGTTATGGTTANAATTTTAAATAAAGATAGAAAACAATAGCAAAACTGAATTATGATAAATTATTTATTTAGTGAATTCAAAAACACTTGAAAAAAATTTTATTTTAAAGTAAAGCATTTGAGAAATACATAATAATAAAATTCATATAAAACATTGTTTGTATCCCTTATTGTTATTGTTGCCTTAACTTATGTTTATGTAAAATAGTTATTAATTCAATACATCATGTAAGAGTTGTGTCAAATAGTTTATAATTTACACAAAATTGTACTTTCAATAAATCATTTTTACTATAATTGTGAAATACATGGTTATTATAAAATTTTACATATGTATTTCCTATCATAGCATATGTAAAAATTCTTTGTGATGTCAATAACTGCATAGGAATAATCACAAGGAACTATAAATAGCATAAATCATATAAAATAATTTTTAAATTATTTTAAAGGACTGTTTTAAGTATGGTAAATAGTTGCATATATTTAGGTCAATACTGTACTTAAATAAAGTACATATAAGGTATTATAAATAAAGTGAACCAGTCCCATAACTTGGAAATGACTGAAAGTTGGAGGGGATGGACTAATTAGGCCAAACAAGGTGTATGGGATACATGTCCAAAAGATGACAAATGTGTATTTCAGAGTTCTTCAGACTATGAGGTTTGTGGGTGTTTCTCACCAAAAGCTAATGGTACATGTTGTCAAAAATGGTACTTATTAGAAAATACATGAAAATCTACGTAATATTTACTTTTGGGTAATTTTTGATAACTTGCACAATTTCAAGTAAAGTAAATATAAACATGTAAGTCAGGAAAGGCAACCAGGTAAGCATGTAAACAGTGCACCTGTTGTTAGCATGTATGTTTATAGTTTTATGCACCTTCTTTGCCCATAATTAGTCTAATCCTCCAATCTTTAGTCATTCCCAAGTTATAAGACTACTTTACTATTTGTAATACCCTATATACGTACATATGTATATTTATGACAATAATGATCCAATTATAAGCAACTACTATCCATGCAATGACAAATGCTATAAACATCTCAAAAATATCATACATCTAATTAGTTAGTAAATGATGCATTTAACATGCATTTTATATATATTGTAAATATTTAAAATACATTTATTTTTAAAATGAAATGTAATAAAAACATACTTGTTTTTCTTCTAATAAGTGTAATTCTTGGCAATCAGTTACTCCATTTTCCTTCAGTCTTGAAAGTTTTCTGTTTAAAAACAATAGTAATAAGAAACAAAAAGATGTGTTAAAATATAAAATGTTTAATTAATATTTTCAATTAGTTTGGTAATCAACAGCATAACAAGTCATTCAAATTAACTCTTAATATTTGATACAAATCATCATCTCAAGATTTCAACTGTTGCATTATATCAAACTTAACAATTAAGATCACTTTGTATATAATTTGAATACACTGCAATATAATTATTTGGAAATGTCTTGTAAATATTACCATTAAATATTAATCACAATCTTAGCATAATCATAAAAACTGAAAATCTTCATTCATTTAAGTTTTTAAGTCCATCGGTATCACCATTTCTTTCATTTTTTTTATATTTAATATTAAAAAATTAATTTATTAGTTTAAAATAATAATAATAATAATTTCATTTTTAAAAATTATTTCATACAGGTAGGCTTAAATATGCTTTTACTAACAATCTTTTTGTCCCACCTTCACATCTTCCTCTATCAAATTCTGGCATTTCTACATAAAACAATTTATTTCAAAATAAGATTAATTTTTAAATATGTATTTAATATATAGTAAACAGAAATATATTTTTCAAAGAAAATAAGACATTCTGGTAAAAGAAATAGCCATTTTAATCATTTAATGATTATTACTAATTTAAAATGCAAGTTTTATGAAAGATATTAT